AAACATAATCCATAATTACCAGTATAATCCATAATCTCATGATTTACACTGTTTCATTTAATTACCAACAGTGACCAACTGGTGCAGGATTTTGCAGCCATCCACAGCTCCTGGAATTCCAGATCGCATTCTTATTCCATATCCTTCCCGTACAATTTGCGCTGTGAATTTCTCTAGCTAGCTTTGTCGAGTGTTTTGTTCTTACTAAGGCAAGTAAGAACCAAACATTCGACAAAACTTTTGTGCTGTGAAATTCTCTAGCTAGCTTTGTCGAGTGTTTTGTTCTTACTAAGGCAAGTAAGAACCAAACATTCGACAAAACTTTTGCGCTGTGAATTTCTCTAGCTAGCTTTGTCGAGTGTTTTGTTCTTACTATGGCAAGTAAGAACCAAACATTCGACAAAACTTTTGCGCTGTGAAGTTCTCTAGCTAGCTTTGTCGAGTGTTTTGTTCTTACTAAGGCAAGTAAGAACCAAACATTCGACAAAACTGCTTAGTTCCTATCCACCTCTGGCTGCCCTCGATTTGAAGTTCCATCCAATGAAAGACGGTGACTGCAACGAACTCCGAACGATTTTGCCTTGCAATTTCCGAACGAAGCCGTTGCCCACACCAACGGCGAGAGAATTTGACGGTGGACAGCAGCACCGGGACTAACTGGAGTTGGATCCCATGGAGCAAGGAATTTGTTCCATGGTAGCTGCGGTGGCATCCGGTTGTTGAACAAAAATGTTGGACTGGTACTGGATGGTGGTTTGGAACCATGGAATTTTGACTGACTTTCCATATATTGGGAATGTCATCATCCCAACTGACGAACATATTTTTCAGAGGGGTAGGCTCAACCACCAACCAGGTTATGCTGACAACAAATGTCCGAAACTTCTGATCAGACACTGAGAAATGCGTCTGGAAGTGACGCTTTCACCTCGTCCATTCTCAGTGAATCCAGCTCCCAAGCGGAGAAGTTACGACATCGACACCATGAGCGAGAAAGAGAATGCACAGCTTGAGCCTGACCCTATTGGCACGCGAGCTACAGCTCCATAGTTTGCGGAACATGAAACAATTGAAACATGATTCATACCTGGAACCCCACCAGAAATATGTGGTAGGTTTCCCAGTTCCAACCATTTGTCCGATTATTTCTGGTTGGAGCTGCTGCAAAGCTTTCTGCTAAGACGGCATTCGTGCTGCTTTAGATGGAAAAAGGGTCAGTATCCCGTGTCTTGATCTGTGGGGGATTTTGAATACTTATGACTTCCAAATGGCTGTTGGATGTCATGTTGATGTCTAAATGGATTAATTAGTTAATTATACCGTTATACCTTTAACACTTCCACATCCTTTCACTACCCTTGCAAAAAATCATTGGGAACTCTGGTGTGTGATCTATTCATGGATGTGCATATAATATATTTTTGTCGTATTTATATAAGCCATTTCTATATGGAATATCTGATATCCCCAATCAATATTATCCCCATGATATGAAATACCCCGAAATTGAATCACATTGACCCCTAACATGAATAGATCTGATACTTGTCCAGTGTATTTCATATTGGGGCGCAGGGATGATCTAATTTATCTGTTTATTTTATGGGGTGGGTATCAACACCTTTTACTAGTCGTATAATTTTTGAGTGAGATGAACATCAATTTACCAGCTATTTTGGGGTTCACTACCGGGGCTAAGAGACCCGTAGCCAGTCATGGAGGTTTCCTAAGTCATGGGGGTACTCCCAGTTATCATCCAACATTAGACCATTTTACTATTGAAACCTGTGGTTTTGGGGGTACCCCATTTTAGAAAACCTCCATATATTTATTTCTATTGCATTCTTTTCGTGATACCTGCCAGTCCTGGGATGAAGTGGGAAGGTGGCACGTGGCAAGACGGTCATGATCGCCGGACATGGTGCCTTTGGTGTGGAAAACGTTGGAAGCCCAGTGGTGATGTGCTTGCACCCGCCCAGCATGGCTGGATGGGAAATCCCATCAAACATTTTCCAGCAATCCATGTTCGGTTACGAGAGGATAGACCTGTTATGACCTGTTCGGTGGCACTGGTTGATACGCACACACGTGTAGAGCAAGTAGCAAACCAGATCCAGGCCTTGAAGTAACCACTTTTTTTAAGGTGAAATGGATTTCAATGGAAGGTCCCGAGGTCAAAGTTACAGGTCATAAAAGTTAAAGTAAGTGGGTCCTGCACCAATGTTCATACGAATATAATATACCCATCATTGCAGGAAAACACCGTAGTTCATCGCTGAGATACTCACCTGGGAGTGCAGTTTCCCCATGATTTAAGATAAGATTTTGAGATCTTTTACTGATGTTTTACTGCACTCCCAAAGGCACTTTGACAGCTTTGCCTGTGATTCATGCCAGTTTCCTTGAAGTACCCCACACTTGTTAAAAACCTTGGAAACACAAAGAAAAAAACAAAACAAAAAACAGGAAAAACAAAAACAATTTCTAGACTCTTTGGAAGGGGGGGTCCCAGCCAAGACTCTCTGAAAAGAGGCAAAAACCTTGGAAAAACAAAAAAAATACAAAAAACAATATGTCTAGACTCTTTGGAAGGGGGGGGTCCCAGCCAAGACTCTATGATTTGTTTTTTATGTTTTTTTTGTTTTCCAAGTTCTTTTTTGGTTTTGGTCACTTTCAGCCATTTGCACCTTTTTGTACACTGGCCGTTCGGTGTCTTCATGTGTTCAAGCTTGCAGGAACCAATCGTTTAACCACTGCAGCTATGAACATACTGGGTCTGAGGATCAAGACTGTGTGTTCCAATTTTGAATTTTTTGGCAATGTCCTAGATAATAAGCTTAGTTTTATGCTATACTTTTTGAAAACATGTTGCATACTTTGGTAGCACACTTTGAAGTAATACGACCATCTTCTCAAGCATCATTGCATCATCGATGGAATCTGCTGTAGACTCATGTTACACTTTCTTGGAGGGATGCTACACAGATTTGCCAAGAAACTATTCACTTTTAAAGGTAGATATACATACACACATATAATCATATATATATATATACATACAGTGTGTGACACAGATTTTGCACAGTTTGCAATAATATGACATTTTTTTGACTGCACTCTTTGCATAGGCATGTAGCACTTGTCTACATTGCCATAATTATATTTGAATAAGTTTGCATTAGGATTTATGATCTATATTTACAATGTGTTTTGCATTGTTTGAAGCCATATTCTACTTTGTTTACAAAGATATGATATGCTGCACTCTTTGGAAATGCATTACTTGCAGAAGTTGGCGCAATACTTGCTTTGCAACAAACAACGCGTATTTTTAAACAGGCTTTTGCATCATCAATGGAATCTACAGTAGGATCTTGCTACACTTCCTTACAATAATGCTGCACACTTTGCAAACAAGAATCTGCACTTTCAAAGGTAAAACACATGTTTCAATGAATGTGTCAGTAAGGTGGCACTCTTTCCAAAACCATGCTGCAGTAATTCAAGAATAGATTCAATCTTTCAAAACAGCATGCTACATTTTCCTACATGAATGCTATGATTTCTGACAGCATTCAGTACATACATAGGAGGGTTCTCCTTGAAATTGGGAAGTAATGCTACACATCTTTCAAAGAATGCAACAATGTTTGCAAAAGGTTGTGGCATACATGGAGGAATGGTGTTCTTTATGCAAAGTCATTTTACAAGTGATCTTTGCATGTTTGGTTACCGTTATTATTTATAGAGAACATATTGCATAAATTGGTGCCTGTTTTAAATGCACATTTTTTAAATGCTACTTATTTTCAAACAATGCCACACTTTTTGCAAAGGGTTTTCACATTGAGGAATGGTATTCTTTAGGCAATATCATTTTACAAGTGCAGTTTGCATATTTATTTTTCATTCATTGTTTACAGAGAACATATTGCATAAGTTGGTCCCTGCTTAGAATGCGCATGCCCAAAAAGACTATTGCATATGTTGAGGGAAACTCCTGTAGAGATGTAGAGTCTATACATTCTTAAAGCGATGCTGCACTCTTTGGAAAGGCATTTGCACTTGTTTGTTTTGCTGTTTTTATGTATTAGTCATGTTTGTTTTGGCTGAAACTATGTATCTATGTAGGACATTGGGAGAGCTGCTGAGAATGCACAGTGGTTTCTTTTGTTACAGAAGCAACATGAAGCAACAATGTTTGGTTTTGGAAAGAACAGGGTTTGGTATCAAAACTTATGAAACACCGCACTCCCACAGCCTGCCACTCTCTTTCTCCAGACTCGCTGAGATACGCACCTGCTGTGAATTTTCAACGAAGAAGATCTATTTAGTTTGCAGAAGGACAGGGACAGCAATGTCGCGTACTGGGTCAACTTCGGGTGTGCTTGACCAGTCCCCCACTGAGCAAACAACCGGTCCATACCTGGGATGAAAAAACGAGAGCATCGACTGGCAGAAGAGTTGAGACAGGTGATTGTTTCAAGCCCCTGTGTAAAAAAAAGATGCATGAGGGTACATGGGCTTGTCTAAAAATGGGGCCATGGGCAGACCCCAAAATTAGAATTTTCATGGAAATGGCAATCGACCACAAAAAATAAAAAAAATCAAACAAAATGCCCCCCAATTATAACTTGATTTACAACCCTCTCTGAAATCAACCCCAAGAGACCTACTCATGGGGCACCAGCTCAATCACTGCTTGCACCAGGAAAAACTTGGCGTGTCCACGAGTTTGTTCCTGGCCCTTCAGCTCAGTCTTTGAAGTGTTGCTGAAAGATGGAGGTCTGATAAATCAACATAAATCCAACATAAAACATGGTGACATTTCCTGGGTGAACCTTAAATACATCTTGACATCTAATGTTGAGTCAAAGTGATGGATTGTTATGGCGATGTTTATGGATGTCTCTTGTACCCAGTTACAGATGTTGCATTTGCCGCAGGGGGCAGATGCCAGTGTGGGCAAAGGGCGGGGTGCTGATAAAGTGCGGTGCCGAGGCTTGCGAATCAGTCCAATCCGCCTATTTCAGGCCGAAAGACTGCGGTCCAGATGATGATGATGATGATGATGATGATGAAGATGACTATTATTATTCCACTTCTGTTAGTTGCCATGGTGACTGGTGGATCATTTCTGTACAGATTGAACGGATGGTCAGAACCTCATGCTAGGCATTAGTTCGGTACCAATTGAAGGATTTGTTCTGGAAATTTACAGATGTTTACTGTACATATATCAGGATTGTTCCAACCTATTGTAGGTAAATGATAGCCACTTTCGGGGGGAGAACAGTGGTTATTTTACCTCATTTACCGCAACTTTTGCCTGAAACGTATCATTCGTTTGGCCAGGAGCTCTTTTTATGGAAAGCATGGTGCCGGCTTATCAGTCCTTCTGGCACGATCGAAATTTGCTGGGTGGTTTCAATTTGTGGGTTTTCCATTTGGGACAATGATCAATATTGAAACATTTTTGGGGGGGATGTGTTAAAACCACCATCGGGCTATGACTCGCAGACTGAGGGCGTGAGTATTGTGGCAGTGCAAACAGCAGCAGTTTTTCGCTGACATGAGAATGGTCCTTCACAAGGTTTGCGAGAGCAGAACCAATCAGATAGTTCTTCGTCAAGTCCTAAGACAGCGAATTACATTGGCATATTGGCAAGGTGAATTTCTCGAGGTGCCATCCATGGTTTGTACTCTTGTGCTGGGGCCAGGGTAAGGATGAAACAAAGCCACGGCGAAAAACACAGCCACTGGGCGTCATTCGGCAAGTGACTCATGACAGGTTGATTGGCTTCGATCCCTGGTGGGAGCCCTGGGGTGGTGAAACATCAAGCGGCGCTGTCCGGGTTGACCTTGATTTGGTTGGTAATGGTTGGTGGCTTTATGTTGTGGCAGTCTAGCATAGCTGTGCAATATGGATAAACATGGCCCATGTGTAGATATGATTACTTATTCAACATGCAGTTCTCACGGTTTTCCCATGTTTTCCATGGCTAGGTTCGATTGCCAGAGGGTGAAAAGTTGGTGCTCCAGTGGTTTGACAATCTTTGACATCCTGGAATCCCCACCGTCCATGACTGCCAGCTCCAGGGAATACCACTCGGTGATGGCCAATGCACAAAGAACCTCAGCGCACATCAACCAGAAGGTTTCTTGGCGAACATGTGTCCCAGGTGGATGTTGGTCGATAAACCAAAAGAAGAACTCGTTCGTAACTACCATATACCCCAACCGTTACACGAATTTGATGAGTTGGTTAAGAACATATTTTTTCTAACCACTATACTATCTAACTATGAATCCATTATTGTGTGGTAACACACTAAGTACAATAAGTTGGTATATTGGTTATACTAAATATGGATATACTAAATATGGTAGTTATACAAATTATAGTCTATAGTCTATAGTTATCTATATCATAATTAGATATCTACTATCTAGTCATCTAGCTATACCAATTATCATCAATTATCTCATTGTAATGTTATAATTACAACCGCCATGAACTTTGGTTTCTCTAGCTACAAACGAAAAAACCACTCCAAGGAATCCGGCAGCGTTGTTTTTTTTGGACACGTCCAAGTGAAGGGTTCAAGAAAAGCAGCCAGAATGGTGGTTTTTATCATGGTTTGATGTATGGTTTCATATGATTTTATGATTTGTTGAAGGGTTTAATATGGTTTTGTTTGGTTTGTATGGTTTTATATGTGTTTTTTTTCCCTAGCTAAATATCAAATTTGAGTCTCAAGCTGTAAGCCAAGTGGGTGCAGGGTAGCCGTCGAGTGATTTTGGTTTCACAATGTAAGTGGGGACAGATATATTACCCAGCAACAAACATGTTTTTTTGTTATGTATTTTAGAATAGCAATGTGTAAACAAATGACAAGCTGTGTGAGAAAAAAAAACATAAAATACCCTCTGGTAAACTAACATAGCTATGGAACATGGCCCATTTATAGATGGTTTACCTATTAAAACTGGTGATTTTCTATAGATATGTTAAATTACCAGAGGATAATGTGTGCGGACATGTTTTAGATGATGTTTAAAGACATGGCCAGGACTGGTTTTGGTGATAGCTGACCTAATCCCAGGCCACAGGTTGGTCTACAAGAAGGCAGCCCTGGATAAGTTGGCTTCCAATCTAGGGCAACTAAGGTTCATGGATGTTTATGGTGATATCTCTATATCTGTGGATATCAGTTAGGTGGGTTTTTCAAGCAACTCATACAGAAAAAACAAAAGGGGGGATGCTCATTGTAGCCCACTGCTCTTGTTTGAATCATTTTGAATCTATTTGTAAGGCCTTGTGACAAGTGAATTGTGAGCCACCAAATGTGGGTGAGATTCGTTTCGGAACTTGGATGCGCATCCCAGTCAGCAAGTGGTTTTCACAACGTTAGGAGAACCAATCATATATCATAAATCACAATATATTTCACCATGAAAATCTACAAAGTGGTGCCCCCTAGATAGTTAAGTTGGTTTATAACTCCCATAACTATGGTTTATGGCAGATATAACTATAGTTAATGGGGTTTATAAACCAATTTATAACTAGGGGGCACCACATTGTACAGGATGATTTTTGCCACTTAGTTGAGATGCAAAGTTTGCACCACCTTTGAATCCTTTGCGCCGATTTCTGAGTCCCGCTTTGGGATTGGCGATGTTTATTTCCTGGCGTTGAGCATGGGGAAGTGCGAAGTCGTTGTGGATGATGTGACGCGGAGCGTTATGGACTGGGTGGGATCCGATGGGTGGGTTGAACAGAGAAGTTCCGAACCAAATTTTGATCAGAATTGGAGGAACACAATCATTTCATGTTTAAACACATATATATATATATATACTAAGTGCCTGTAATCGGGAAAACTTTTGGATACTGTGAGTATTTTGAGAGAAACTGCTTGGCTAGTAGAAATTCTAACATGTTGTAAGATATTCAAGACGATGGATGCGTAGTTGAAGTCTTTCAAAGGCAAGTTTAGATGTTGCTGATGCCGCCATATGTTCACAGCTTGTGGCCAGAATATGCTAGAATTGAAGTGAATTGTGCTGACACGCCCAAGTTTGTAGACCTTTAATTGCCTTTGAGCTACTACCCAATTAAAATATTTCTTTCGGATCCTTTTGGAATCTTTTGGTTCTATTCTGGACTGGACAGTTTTTTGTCGCAAGTGATGTGGTTACATAATGTTATGTAGCCAATTGGATCCATACACGTGCAGTCGCTAAGGTTATACCCTGCCATACTCTCTCACTGATCCGTTGTACATGGGTCAGCCTTGCTAGGATGATGGCTTTTGGGTTGATTGTTTTACCATCTTCAGGGTAAACACATCGACTAACCAGCCAATACTTTTCCACGCTTGATGCTTCAACTCCCGTTCTTCCATGCTGTGGGAAAACAAAACAAGTTCAACATGTGCGTTATTCAAATAAAGTCTATGTTTTTGATAGTTAGCTAATTATGATATATTATTATTCTTATCATTATTATTATCATTATATGATACATATATATATATATATATTTCCTAGGGCTTGCCATTTCGAAGAGGTTGCCATATCAATCCTCTATATTTGGAGGTTGCCTAAAACAAAATAGGGCATTTCATCCGGGCTACCCCTAGTGATCATCCGCTTGATGTTCAGAATGTCTTTGAAACCCTCCAGCTGTTGGGCTATCCCCCGTGGCTTCCATTCCAAGGTGAAGCGATTGTCGCCAGGGAAGGTTCACTTGGAGTCCGGTCGAGACCTGAAGGTCGTTCGATGCCGCGGCTGAGGGCTTCCTATGTGTGAAAAGATAGGGGAATTCATCACCAAAAAATAATATTGTTTATTAGATGTTCAATATATATATATATATATTCAATATATATATATATATGTTCAATATATATATATATATATATCTGGGTAAATGATAGTGACCTATAGTTATAGTGACCTCACTGGAATTATGGTTAGGCTTGGATGAATTATCCCAATATTAGTCGAGGTTTTCAGGTGAGTGAATATTGCAATTTACCCACATCAATGGAATATCATCATACGTTCACATGGCATGTACAGCAATTATATTCATTAACATATCATAACATATCAGAATTCAGCAAAACGGGATATCAACATCTCCACCAATGCTTTGATCCAAGTTTGAAAAGCTACGTCAGAAGTGGTACAAACTTGGAGTTATTTGCAACTGTTTTCATGATTTACATGAGGATTTAGCACCTACATCGCTAAATAAACCATTAAATCACTTTAGCTAAATGCCCAATAGCTATGTTAAATTAATGGTTGAACGTGAAAAACATGGTTAATCAATGAACACTTTAGCGATTAATTAATGGTTAATCAACTAAAAAAACATGTGAATTGCCTAAATAGGTGAAGCAACATGGTAATTGAGCAACTCGGCAGCGCCTTGGACTGGGGAACCATGGAACATGGAAGAATCATATCTGCATATCTAAGATCGGCCGCGGGCAGTGGCTCATGGAAATAACAACATGTGTTTAATAAGATGAGCCACATGGAAATAACAACATGGAAATAACAACATGTGATTATTATGGATTTCAAATTTCAACTGATTAATAATGGAATACCAGGCAAAGAAAACCGGGGATTGCCTGGGTGCCATGCTATCCAGTTACTGTACTGACATTGGCATTGAATCTTGAATCGTCCCAATGAATCCAAGAATCTCTTGGGACGTAGACGCAGCTGTTCCCAAAAGTTCTCATGTTTTCATTATATCATTGGTATTGATATAAGATAAACCTCCCGATGGCAATGTTGATGTTTTTTTTAATTTTATTTTTTAATAAGTTGATCTCTCAGCCTATCGAAGTATGGTTAGATCAAGTTATATCATATATCTCCATAATATATGACCTATATAATTCCTTTATATATATGTATATATATATATTTATATTTATACCTATATATATATAACTATATATATATATATCACTTTATATCACCATAAACCCTAGTTAATCTAGTCATACACCAGCCGAGCCAACAAAGTCCACATCACTTGGTCGGTTGCATCACCAGTCGAAGTATGGTTTAACCGCAGGTCGACACCATCCTGAAGGTCTTTGGCTTCACAGGTCTCTATGAGGTGCGCATAGGGCGTGTTAGCTCAGAATTCTTGGGATTTATTTGATCATCTTTGATCTAGAGTAGTGCTCTACAGTAATAGTATGGTAATAGTTTAGTACGATCAACTCCCGGTTTTGCCTCGAGTTCGACGCGATCATCAGCACCAGCACCATCATCATCATCATCATCATCATCATCACCATCATCATCACCATCATCATCTTATAGCATAATATATAGTCTGGCTAAATTACAACCCCACGTCGCGACCTCACCATAGATGATGGTCCGTCATGGGAAACTATCTTGATATTGGCTGACCTTTTCAGGTTAGTGAATTATAATCTACCCAGAATAGTACATTAATCGTGGTTAGTAGTGGTTATAGTTTTGATCTATAGATAGAGTTTTTACTTTTCCCAACCATTATGGCTACAATAGTACAATAATTGTGCAACGTTATAGTGATGTTTATATATTTGTTAGTAGTACTGTACGTTGAATAGTATTTCCCGTTATGGGTAGGAAGGTTATAGTTGATCTGTATATACTTATGAACATATTCCAAACATATCACATATGTGCTGTTACAGTTGACAGCATGTATTGCCAGAGTGTAGATGATATATCACCGTTATTCGTTCTGTATTTGTGTAACGTATACTGTACAGATGTATATGTATGTACTGTACACAATCCTATATACATAATGATGTGTCTTGACGTTGCTCCTTTGATGCTCGTTCTGTCGAACAAAACACATACTGGTTGGTGGTGTTACCCTAAGTAAATATGTGTTTCATCATCACAGTCGGTCGCCATTGTACCCTTGTTACGACCTTTGCTTGACACCCGGGTAGAGAACATTCCCACTTGATCCATGCCAAGTTCCACAATGATTATTGCAGATATTCCAGTATTAGCATATGTTTCTCTAACTATTGCAATGTTGTGTATTGTGAAACCGTTCGTTTTGTACTCTCCCTGTTGTTAGTCGTTTCCTAGTCCTGGTTTTCATGCCCAGTTGACATTTCATACTAAATACCAGTATGGTTAGACCTTCCAGTGGACACATTGTAGATGTTGCCTGGTCATATCCCAATTGGCTGGGCGGAAACAAAACCACCACCAGGAGGAAAAAACACATGTTGTGTCATTGTGCCATTGGCTATCAGATTGCCTCTGATAGGTTTTATTTGCCATAACTAGATAACATGTTACAAAGCCATGTTTACGTGTTACTCGATACACATTGTGTCACTTTCTAGGCTGATTATGTCCACTATTCGCTGGTAATCTTCCTGTCCGTGGATAGTGCCGCAGAAAAAAAGATAAACAAAAAAGAAGCATTTACTAATTCACTATTGTGTCTGCTTGGTTTTTATTTCCCACTACAAAGAGGTTGTTGTCCAGCCACGTTTGCTTACCAGAGGGCAGTGTTGGATATCATTATGGGAAATGGGATTGCGTGAAGATTTGGTACCCCAACATCTCATGTTTAATAATATAGTTTTTTTCAGTGCTTAGTGGTCATTTTGGGGTATGCGTCCAGTTTGATACAAGCCCAACATCAGATTGTCGATTGTACAAGTTGCAAATCCCACTACACAGTGAAGTATTCGGATTTACTTTTTTTTACCCTTGCCTTGACCTTCCTATACCCTATACCCTCCATGGTGGTTTCCTGAAATAGGGGTACCCCCAAATCATCCATTTTAGATTGGGATTTTCCATGAAATAATCCAACCATTTTTGGATACCCCCATGACTATGGAAACCCCCATATAGTATATATACATATATATATATATATATATGTTGGTTAAATCATATTACATACCTACCTTTGGTGGCAAAATCCCCAGTATCACCGGTATCCAGGTGGATCGGCTGCTGAAGATCAAGACCATGCACGGCTGGTGGGTCCAAGAACTCAGTTGGTTGGTGGTCCTGAAACGATCAAACCAGCATAGATCTGGGTAAATTATAACGACCTCACTGCGACCTCACTATAATCATAGTTAGTAAGGGGAATCATCCCAATATGGCCTTAATTCAGGGTAGTGAAATATTATAATTTACCCAGATCAGTATATGATATGGGATTTACGGCTGGGATTCATATAACAAGCATCAATGATGTGGAGACGTAACCAACAAGAATGGGAGGATTTCTCAGCGGGAGAAACACAAATACTTGGTGGCTCATCCCACGGCTCGTAAATGGGTTATAACCCCAGTTATAAATGGGATAAGTAGGGTTAATCCACTTATAACTGGGGTTATAACCCACTTACTAAGTGGGATGAACCATCAAGTACAGTGTCTGGACAAATTAGAACAACTTGTAGTTTCGTAAGTATCCCAGCACAAACAATGAATCCTTACAGCAAAAGTGGGAATATCACCAGATACACATGCGATAAATTGAGATGGTATGAATTACCCTCCGGTAATCAAACATGGCAATGGAACATCTACCACTTATCCTTGATTTTCCCATTAAGCTCTCCACTTTTAGTCTGTGGATTTTCAATTGCTATGTTTGATTATTGGGTTTGGATGTGTTTCTTTGTTTATTGTTTTCAACATTATATAGATTGTTCTTAGAAGGTGTCCAAGTCAACTATCTACAGTGCTATGCAGGTCTGCATCTTTGCATCTTTGCCTGCAAGATGCACACCTGCATGGTCCCCATGGTTTTCATAGTTGGTTTACCAGCCATTTGATTTACCCTCTGGTAAACTAACATAGCTAATGAATATGACCATTTATAGTGGATTTACCCATTAAAAAGTGTGATTTTCCATAGCTATGTTAAATTACCAGAGGGTAAGCGTCAAACAATGTCGGATACAGATGATCCTTGGGCACAATCGGACGGTAGGTGTTGAAGGTGCTTCTGCTACTCAGCTATTTCCAGAGGGCCAGTATTCCGGGAACCGCGTAATCAACTGGAACCACCATGGCTCGTGGTTGTTTGTGTTTTCGTCAAAAGAATCACAGGCCGGTGATTCAGGTACCGATGAGAAGGACGGACGATTAAAATTTGATGAAAGGCTTGAACAAAAAGACACATGCCTATTTGCAGGGTATCCAAGATTAACTATACGTATAAACGAAATACATGGGTATTGCTGAAAGGGTGCGCCTCGCAATTATTTGTCTAGTTTTGCCATAAACTAAATAACATTTTTTGGATGATTTTGCCCCCCTTGTGACTTAGGAAACCCCAATTGACAACGGTGGTGCACTTTTCCCAGAAGTGGTGCCTTGAGGCTGAGGGTGACAACCGTCGCCACATTGCCAGCGAAAATCCTGGGGTGCGCCCTCTGGGATCTGAGAAGATGCGTATCTAAAGAAAACATTCAAGCTAGCTATTTAGGATAAGGTACAAGGTGGTACTCCCTAGTTATAAGTTGGTTTATAAGTTGGTGGTTTCAAACATGTTTTATTTTCCAATTTCATATCTGGGATGCCATCCTTCCCATTGACTTTCATATTTTTTGAAGATGGTTAAAACCATCAACCAGATAAGGTAGGGATATCAAAGTCCCTGTTTTCATTTGTTGGGTCGAATCCAAATGCCAGTTTTGGAGGTGGACAAAAGACTGCAGCATTTCAGGGGCACGGGCACGTTTGATCAAATTTCACCAGAATTCCAGGTGATGTGTTAAACAAAGTGATATTTTTTTTGCAGGACTAAATGTGGTTTTGTCGGAAAATATGATATCCCAAGGTCCAAGGATTGATTTTTTTCCGGGTTGATCATCATATATCATAAATTTTCAACATGAACATTGGTGGAATCTCCCCTTGCCATCTTTAGGCCCTTTTTTGCGTATGGGGATGGGGATCAGTTTGTCATTTGTTTGATGTGGGTTTGTCAGGTTTACCACACTAAATAAGTCTGAAATCGTCTTTTACCTGTGCAGCCACCATTTTGTCATTGATTGTCAACGCTTTCTGAGAGCCAACAGGTGTTTTCATATCCCAAATGCTCACCATGGTGCTGGAATATGCACACCAACATAGAAACCCGAACAATTCATCACCCAGTCATCTAGGTAAATATACCAGCACCATGGATATGGGTATGTTTTCATGAAAATATCATGTTCCCCTCATTGTTTATATCATTTCCTTGGTGTTTCCCCACTGTTTCGGATGATGATCTACCGCCCTGGCCGCCTCCTCCATTTGCGCATGATTTGTTTTTGGAATTATGGCATTATAATTTGCCAGGGAATATCATGAATCATGTGTATATGTTTTTTTTTGTGTGTGTGTGTAAATGACCTATAGATACTTATAGATTTTCGACATAATGTATGTACACATATAATATATATATATGTATACATATACATATGTAGCATTGCAAAACTATATTTGGCTTTGTCTCAAGATAGGGGTTAGTTGGTATCGATACTAAATATAATGATGTTGCGTTCTTTTTACTATGCAACATGTTTTTCTCTATGGATGTTTTCGCGTCAGGTCTATGCCGGGAACTTTGCAAGCACGAGCCTGTCGCCAGGCAAGGAGCGTGCAAAAAAGTTACCATTTTTAACAAGGCCTTAGAATGGCATCAGACATGTATATACGGTACATATGTACGCATGGATTCTTGTTTGCAGCTATACTCTCATGTGTTTTGATATGTGTGTGTTGTTTATGTTATTATGTTGTGGTTGTCATTTTTGCGAATGGAATTCGATGGGTAACGACCATGTATACCACTAGGGTGGATCAAGCAATCACCAATGATGACCAGGCGTGGTGAGGGTGGTTGAGAAACATAGGGTTGTAACAAATGTTGCGGGTGATAAGGTTGCAAAATCTATCTCTTATATCTTATATTATCTTATTATCTCTGCCAATGTTCGATGATGTGGATGTGCCTTTGCGTGAATAGGAATACCCGCAAGATTGACCGGAGTGGTCTATCATTCTCCGCAAACCATAGTGTTCGAGGTTCCTGTGGGATTTTTTGGATGATAGCAGTTTGTATTTCAAGTTCCCACTTCTGTTTGTGATTTGTTTTTGTGTCATCGACATTGGATTCCACCACTGGACCTTGGTATCCTTAACCAACACCAGTGACGGCCGTTTAGTTAGCAAGGCCGCCCTTGCTCCCATTGGTGAGTGAGCGTGTGTGTATATCTTAAAGTCGAATGGCCTTCAACTACCAAGTTGTTTGACAAGATCAGGTTTGTCATCATAAATGTTGGTTGGTTGAAGCCCATGATTTGGACCCCCATTGGGTTTTGATGAGATTGTTCATGGCTTTTGATGAGATTTGATGAGATATACTACGATATACTTAAATCCACATTTTTTTTCAGATGTTGTCTCTTCTAAGCCCAAAAAAGGAACCTGCTTTCTTATCTTTCTTGGTACTGGTAGGTGCTTACAGCTGGTCGCAGACAGCGGGGGGCCAGGAGGGAAGGGGCGGGTATAACATGGTATAACCTCAAATTCGGTCACGGGCAAGATGGTAAACAAAAGTCAACTATGAAATTCACAAGCTAAATATATCTAAATATAATATAGTTGACTTTTGTTTACCATCAGTTGGACAATATGAACAATATGGATTGATATGTCAATATTGTAAACATTCATATGATTTGTCAAAATGGTAGGCTTACGGTTAGTTGAAGCCAAAGTGATCCAAAGTCCGAAACCATTCAACTTGGAATTCAAGTTCAATCTTCGCTGAAATTGATTCTGCTTGTTTGCGGTACCAGGATGTAGTCAGCCCAGCTACGTGCAACGACGCTCAAGAAGAGTTGCTATAGAAACCAGACTCAGACAAGATGGGTTTCACTAAATGTTTTTTTTGACTTTCTACATGTGTATTAATATATATATATATGATAATTATATAAACACAATATTATATTTATATATGTGACACAGAGATGTTCCATGTAAAATATGTGTGCCTACGTTTTAGTGACTTAGGGGGTAATTGCAATGGATGATTTGGTACAGAAAAAACACCAAAAGCAGCAGCGTAAGTGTTTGTCAATCTCCTGTCAGCCAAACATCTGGCCTTGTCCCCAAATCTCCTTAATCATTTTCATAATATGTTCCATGAATATTATGACTGGTTGGTGGTTTGGAACATGAATTTTATTTTTCCATATATTGGGAATGTCATCATCCCAACTGACGAGCATATTTTTCAGACGGATTGAAAGCACCAACCAGATGATATTCACCATTTTGGCACATAGGCTACGGCTATTCTCATTTGAATGGCCATAGTAATTGACGCAAGTCCCCCATTATTTAGACACAGCCGTCAGTAGTGATTGTGAATGTAGCCGAAACACCCCCTATTATGGTTGGTTGTAATTCCCGATTTTCCCCTAATTTATTCCCTAAAATCCACATTTCTGAGGCGACTCACATGATGTGGCACCCCAAAGACTGGTCGGGCACCCAATGATCCCCGCTGCCGAACAGGAAGTGCCGTAACTTCACCCGGGGACATATCATATGTATATGATAAGCATATATAAGCGATGCATATATTATACATATATTTCATATACATAGCATATGTATTCAAACCATTATCTGTCATTTCTGGCTTGATTTTTACATCACGAACTCAGGATGTCGAGGCTCCGTGGGATTTTCTTTATGCCAGATATATCATCCAGTACAAGCGCTTTTTAATAAACAACCCAGTTGAATGTGGGATACTTCCCGCAGTTACGGCTGGTTTTTCATTGGAAATTCATGATTCACCACTTACTGGCTGCACATCCAAGTAGTTGCGAACGATCCTCTCCCAAGCTATTCTTGGAATTTGCATGTCTATTTAGAGAAATATTATTGGCAAATTAGAATCAGCAGAACCACCAAATAATTTTGACAATTCGTGTAGTTGGTACCCTCTGGTAATTTAACATAGATATTGAACATGGCCATTGCTAGTTGATTTACCCTTTAAAAATTGTGATTTTCCATAGTTTTTTGTATGTTTACCAGAGGGTAGTTGTTGGTGGTTCGAATTGGTCAACAACTCACCTCGCCCAGGCTGCGCTTGATGCAGAGTTCCCAGCTGCCGCAGAACGTGGCCGACGACAGCATCTCCAGGCACTGCGCGACTGCGCGACTGGTGGTTGACGAATGGACATGATACGTTTGTACCCCCCCATGGATGATATCTCCATGTATTATTTGATCTCTGAACATACCAAAGAAATCCAGAGATCTTCAAAGAAACCACCATTCTTAGATTTACCCTCTGATAAACTGACATAAGTATGGAAATCATATTTTCTTTTTATAATATATAGGTACAGTAAATCATCTATAAATGGGCCATTTTCAATATTTAATAGGTAAATCAACTTGGATTATGATCAACCTACAAAAAGCTATGGACCATCACCATGCTATTTATGGGTAATTACCCCTGTTGGATTATGGTAAAGTAACATAGCTAACTGGAAAATCACCATGCTATTAATAGGTAAATCAACTATAAATGGGTTCTTACCTCTAGTAAACATTCAAAAAAACTATGGAACATCACCATTTGAAATATTTTTAAATGGGTAACTACCATGATTTAATGCTGATATAATGGAATTCAGTGGTGATTTAATAGACTTGAATGGGGATTTAATGGAGATATACCCGGCCTGGTAAACTAACATAGCGAACTGGAAAAATCACCATGCTATTAATAGGTAAATCAACTATTTCTATGTGCCATTTTGATCACCCTTGATTCTGCCATGGGAAGCAAGCAGTGAGCGTACGGACGCGACCCAGAATTGTTTCAATAGCTATGTTGATTTACAGAATTTAGTTAATGTCATCAGCTGTTGTTATTATTCCACACTTGAACATAGTTAATGTATGTTAATGTTACTATTGTTTTTGGCATCAGTCATTGCATTTCTATGGACTGAAACACCTTTTTTTTCAAGACTTGTAGGATCACCAGTGTCCTCGTAAACTAGGCAGTGGAAGGGGAGTATTGTTGGGGTATGTTCAAATGACACATAGATAGATCAAACCTGTGTAATAGAGATACAGTGAGACACACATACACACATGTATGTACCTGTGTGTGCTAGTGCAAGATGGGTACGGAGGGTACGTGTGGAACAATAAAGGTCCGATCATGGGACTTAACTGCAAGTCTCTTGTGTTGTCAAAGTAGACATCTGAAGTGCACAATTGCGAAACAAAATTGCTCAAAGAATCCTTACTCCTGGTCATCCGTATTTCCCATGGTTTCCATGGCAAAGTTTGAGTACAATAAATGTTCAACTCATAAACCGGAGTATTGCAGCACCAATTTTGAATCTTCCGTCATGAGTTTCTCTGAACATTTCAGCACACCCAAATCCGGAAGCATGTTGATCATGTTGAACTATAGATGTCCATAAACTACTCTATCTGGTTGGTGGTTTGGAACATGAATTTTATTTTCCCCAATAGTTGGGATGATGATCCAATCTGACGAACTCCATCATTTTTCAGTGGGGTGGGTATACCACCAACCAGCTATACATGTTATGTTTTTTTTTGCCCAAACATGGCTTCCGGTATGTAAAAATGCGGATTCTACCAGTCACCCAAAACGAGTTTGTGTTACCAGTCACCCTGGTCGCGTTAGGTGAGCCCTCAACAAAAACCCGCTGGTTTTTTTCGGGGAATCATCTGACTTGGGATGTTGGATCCTAACATTGATGCCTCAAAAGTCAGAGCAGGTTCACTCTATCCAGTGGTGAATGGAGGGAGCTAAGGAGCTATGATGAGGTATGGGTATTCAGAAATACCCTATTAAATAGGGAGCGAGCTATGGAGCTACCAAGAGTTTCCTAACCACATACTAGCAATGGACATAAAAGATGTGGTATAATTTCAGATTACATGTTGGCCTCGCAGGCCTGCATATGTCTTGGATGCCAAGACCGGGCTGAAACACAGCTGAAAGCAGAGGGAATTGTTGTGACGATGGGAAGACCTTTGGAGGGGACTCAAAACGAAGACGTTTTTTTTGGTTCCAAGTATCCTCGGTTAATCAAACACGGTAATGGGACGTGTGTTCATAAGACCCAGTGGTTTTATGTTTGAAAATTATCTATAAATTATAACGCCAGGTAACGATGGGGTTGACTACTATGTAGTTAACATCACCATAAAACTCTGATGATCAACATAGATATACTATGATCTGTCCAAGAAACGGGAGGATGATCCCCATTGACAAGCGTCTTTGTCTCAGAGAACCTGATATAACTTAAGTTGATTCAACATTGGAATGGAGATTCTCTACATCACAGATGGTTGTTTAGGGGATACCTACAAGGTGGTACCCCCCAGTGATGGAACGTTGGTTTATAATCCCCATAGTAACTATAGTAATATAACCCCCATTCATCAACCCTAGTGAAATTGGACTTATTTGCACCAAGTTAGCGATTTAGCTCACTGGGGCACCACCTTGTAGCCATGTATCGCCAGTGATAGGATGAAGCCCAAAAGTGCGCAGGCTACATGATAATAAACATATTAAACTATAAGCATGTGTATCCCTTACAGGAATTCAATTGGCTGATTCTGTTTATTAGGGTTTATGAATATTATTAATAATGTTTATCCCGAATTTGTGTGTTTCTCCGAGGTTTCAGACACCAACTTTCTAGGCATTCAGGTCGATCACCGAGTCTAGAAATGGGATGATGTAGGTCATGACACTATTTTTATGGTTGGTTGAGAATAAGCAGCTTCGTTTATGGCATTGGGTTTACACGGGTTTACGATATGATTGGATGGCATCACATGCGCAATCAAAACAAGTTCAAGCGCAGTTCCAGGGTGTTGGCATCGTTGTTTTGACCCTGGCATGGTGTTTGAGTACCAATGTGAAATGACTTGAACATTCGAGTTTTCATCCTGTCAAATAGACTTCAGTCTTGATGTGTGATCAAGATAACGCCACGTACTAGTATTAAGTTATTGTTGTCTTATATTATGTAGTAGACCATTCTCCCAGTCTCCATACAAGTCCCATCTATGAAAAGTATTTTTCAAAATCAACAACCAGATCTTGACCTGTATCTACTATAGCTAGGGATAGCTAGGGCATTAATGGTTTACCAAATCAAACCCACCAGAAACCGAAACCGAGGACCATGCAGTTCACCATCCCCTCCATTTGCCCCAGCCTGGGCAAGGAATCTCAGGGAGGTTACCATGGGATGGGATGACTTTCGTTCCAAGTCGGTAGACGATACCCTCCGGTAATGACTAACAGTTTGCTATTGAAAATGGCTCATAGAAATAGTGGATTTACCCATTGAAAATGGTGATATTCCATAGTTATGTTAGTTTACCAGAGGTGAACCCCATTTTTGCTGGCTTTTCCCTTTGTGAAAACAAGCAACCACTCTTTTATTATGTTGTTCTTCGCTTATGATGTCATGGATAGTGCAAAAAGTGTAAAATCGTACACTTGCTCCAGTCTGTCATGCGGAACCTTTGCTCGGACTCAATTTTATTTCATGTCAAGAAACATGCAGCAACAACTTTGTTCATTCTTTTGAGCATTTTTCAACACATCTCAACATATCTCAACTGGTTTTCGGAGCTGCTCCAAGTGTCTCTCAGGTGAATTGCAAATGAACAATGGCAATGTCAAGTCTCTTGGTGATGAAATCCGCGCAGTCGCAATGAGTGTGGCAACTGGCAATCTGCAAAGTTTGTTCGCCGGCTGACATACAAAAGGTTGAAAAGACATATACCGGTATTAATGTGTATCTACATTCCACATAGATAAGTCGAAGTGTGAAAAAAAATCAATTCATGGACCTAAGCCATTTGAAATGCGCAACAACTTCCAATGCCAAATAAGATGTCCTAGGATATGGCAGATGGAATGCCACAATAGAGGTCATGATAGAATATCATATAAAATGTCCGACTCTATGTCAATGTCAGTTGGTGGGATCGAAGGAAGTAATTCCATTTTGGGGATAAAAGAATTGTATCGTTTGCCCGGAGAACTGGATAACTTGTCAGCAAGTTGATGCATCGTTGACCTTCGCCATAGGCAGCAACGCTCGACTCAGGCGGCAAAAGCAGCTGCTGTGCCATCCGTTGCGAAAGTTCTTGGAGGACGGATTTCGCGGACTTCCCACGGCGCGCAGAAGTCTGCGGGTGTTGTAAACATGAAATGACACACATGTTTGCTTTGTATAATTATATATAGTTATATATATACACATATATGTATATATATATATTATACACACATATATGGACATATACATGTTGTCCATTTGTTTTTTGTTTAATATCTATAATATATGCATATATATATAACTTACAGATACGTAAAGGTGAATAAGATGAATAAATATTTCCCGGACTTGGTTAAAATTGGTGTTTCAAGCCTGAAAAATTGCCTGCTGCAGGAGTGTGCAAGCGAGTGGGATGAGTGCCCGGGCATAGTCTTGGGGGATATTGGACTATGGAACTGGGATGGAGTAGACCAACAGCAATGGCGATCTGCACATAGATTAACCATTTCACACAAACAAATACACCCCATTCTTGGTGTGTATATATATATATATGTATGTGTGTGACTATATATATATATAGGTTTTGCTTCACATCACGAGGGCGAAGATATTAAAACTGTCATTGAACGCAGCATCTAGCCATCATGGCCATCACGCTCCAGCGGAGGTATGGCAAGGCCTGGAAAGCGGAAGATCCCAGTTTGAAGGATCCGCCGCCATATCCCTACACTCAAAAGATGGCGACTTGGGCGGAACATGTTGGAACTGGAGGTGAGGTGCGCTAGTCATACTGGTGTGGGATGATGATGGTGATGCTGATGGTGATGCTGGTGATGATGGTGATGATAGTGATGGTGATGATGATGATGATGATGACGATGATGACGATGACGATGATACCAAGTGACCATAGATGATTTAGATCTGCAAACCTAAAGACTGTTTTAGTTGAGGATAAACAGAAGAATTACGAACTGCTTTATGTCAGCAATTTCCAACAACCTGGAATAGATATGTCAGTCAAATTACCGAAAAAAACACTAGCAGATGGTTTATGTTTAGATTTGTTCAATACGATATTATGTTTGATTGTTGTTTTCTTGCAGCGGAGAGTACCTCAAGTGAACCTGGCCCAGGTGACACAGTCAGGGACCCATACACGATAATGCAGCCAAAATGACTAGCATAAATTGAATTGCACTACCCTCTGGTAATTTAACATAACTATGGAAAATCACCATTTTAATGGGAAAACTCACTATTAATGGCCATTTTCAATAGCTATGTTAAATTACCAGAGGGTATCCTTACCATCCAGTGCTGGAGGAACAATTTTTCACAGTACTGGTTACTGTAACAGCAAGTCTTTGACCCCTCTCTCGGCACAATGTGAGTTCTAACATATCTTGATACATACCAAGTGCATGTCATTTTTGTAATGTTTTTTTAGATTATATATATATACACATATCTGGGTAAATTATAACGACCTCACTGCGACCTCACTGGAATCATGGTTAGTAAGGGGAATCATCCCCAAATGGCCTTAATTCAGGCTAGTGAAATATTATAATTTACCAAGATTATATATTATATATATATATATCAGATTACATATATTTACAGCATGATTCAGCATATGCATGATTCGATGTCAAGGATAGTTTTTGTTGTTTGGACGGTAAAAATAACATCGCAAACATGTAACAATACTAGTCACATCCAGTCACTGTTTTTTTTAAATGTTTTCTGTGTGTGGTTGCTCATATCAATACGTGTATTTATAAACACACAAATCACATAACTATATACAATAACGTATTATATTACATAATGTGTATATATATATAATATGTGTATGTAATATATATATATATATATTACATACACTCATATATATATATATAAATAAAGAGTGTGTGTACTTCTCCTATATCCGCAACATGACGTCCCCCAAGGTGGAAGACTACCTTCGTCGATCCGAGCAATGAGCCGCGTGGAAAATCAATCCGGGCCGACGTGTTGGATTGAGACATCAACGGGGAGTTGAACGATTGTTCAGCCATTTCAGCAATTTCAACATGTTATCATTGATCATTTCGATATATTTTGATTCACTGTCTCAGCAATTCAAACTTGCAATTTCACATTGAACATCATTTACACGATCTAAATGTTTCTGTGTCTATATGGACAGACCTTTCTTGTGTAGTTCTGATGGTTTATTTGTTGCCACACATGCGGATGAATCTATGTGCTCTATGTATAACTAGGCAGAAATGTTATGTTTGTAGAGCACCTGAGAGTAACCATGCCATGCGGCCACCATTTTAGGATGGTTGCCTGGGTAATCTAGTTGAAATGGAATATGCTCTCAAGATCTGTTTGAGAAGGGCAGTGGAGGCATCATTGTAATCAGGTCATCTAGATCTTGACAAACCGATACCCTCTGGTAATTTAACATATCTATTGAACATGGCCATAGAAATAGCGGATTTACCTATTAAACATGGTGATTTTCCATCGTTTTTTGTATGTTTACCAGAGGGTAACTGCGGTTAAAACACAATTCTTCCAGACACGACGAGTAGCGCATGGTTGGCCATGGACGAGTAGCGTACCGGAACCAGCTGCGATCATTGAATGATTGAAACAAATCTTGAAACACAATTTCTGAAACCCAACAAAGATATACAACAATCATAGTCTGGTTGGTGGTTTAGAACATGTTTTATTTCTCCCAATAGTTGGGATGATGATCCAATCTGACGAACTCATATATTTTTCAGAGGGGTAGGTCAACCACCAAGCAGATATTTGAAAAACCATCATGAAAACCATATTTCATAACCATTAACATTAACCATTATTAACAGTATATTAACCATATGTCAACCATTATTAATAGTATATTAACCAATATTAATAGTATATTAATAGTATATTAATAGTTCCATTAACCATATGTCAACCACCAAGCAGTTCTATTGATTTCTGCCACGGCGCCACGACCCGCCAAAAACGCCAGGCCATTGATCAAGACCCTGACGGAGGAGTTGAAACCTGCGGACTTTGCTGGTCAGGCATGGAGAAAATGGGTGCGAAAATGGCAGGAAAACCAGAATGATCCAAAAAAAAGGGTCATGTTGAATGTTAATTGTCGCGCCATCCAACAATTCGTTATCCCAAAATTGGTCATTTTGAATGATGATGTTAAATTATGTTGAATGAGTCACCATCCAACATTTGTCATGTTTCACTGGAATCATCCAAACTAATTTTCGATGGGGCCATCCAGAATGATGCTGACGGCGACGAGATGCCTCGAGAAAGGGGGCCTCGTGACTTGCTACAGATTCCACTTAGTAAAGGCGGTAAAGGTGTTGTATGTTTGCTGGTTGAGTTATGTTGCCAAATTTCCAGGAGGGATGTGTATCTAATTGTATCTAAATATAGTGGCTATTTATATATTTATTATATATATATATATATTAATGTATATACACAAGGTGGTGCCCCATCAGCTTAGATGGGTTCCTAAATCAACTCATAGGGGAACGGAAAATCACTGTGGATGTATCAGAGTTGTACAGAAATTGATATCCAGCAGTGTTTTTTGCGCTATATTAGGCTATTATATGTTGTTGAATATAATTGTGCCATGTTTATTGGCTTTTTCAAACATTGTTCTTCTTGTTGGGTTTTTTAGCACCAGGTTTTATCAGTTTATGGTTTATGCCGTTATGAAGACAGACCCGTGTCCTGACAGTTTCCCTTTCATATCGCATCTACACGGGGACACCTGGGGGATTTCTCACATTCTCCCCATTCTGCACGAAACTTCTCGGTTGTCGTTTTTGGTTGCAGTCCGGTCTGGGGCTTGATGATGTTTCGCTTGAAAAACCGATGATCTAAATTGAATCTGGTGGAAAAAGGTCAGTGTATGAAATCACTTAATGTTGGTAAAATAATGCCATAAACCATCCCCAATTTCACCGTATGTTTATAGGTGGTGTGGTTACCATTCAAATGGGTGGCTTATGACATTGTTTTAACCACATTAGTGGTGTTGGTTCCAGCTGTTCCCTAAGTTGCCAAACGCGTTGCCAAACGCGTTGCCTTCGCGGCTTCATCAACTTGGCTGTGTCATCACTGTCCCATGGCTTGGCGTGACCATGGCTTGGAGCTAAAAAAAACAATATTTTCAGACGCACCCATATCATCATTATTATTGGTTTGTCATATCATATCCAATTATATCCTTATTAGGCTTGGTTATGTATATATATAATATGTACCACCAGTGTCCTTGGTTATTCACATTACATTACCCAATGTCATGGCTAAATATTCCATGTTTTTGCATGGCTTTCAACACTGGACCTTCCAGGTCTTGCATTGTTTGGGAAAGTGGAGGATGGTGCAGAGACTCAGTGAGGCCATCATGGCATTCCGAGGGATCGAGTGGATTTTTCATGGGATACACCAATAAGTATTGGGAAACAAGTGTATACATAGTCATATAGTATATAGTATGGAAACCAATAAGTATAAGTATATAGTATACTATAAACATAGCCAATAAGTATGGGATAAACCAATAAGTATAAGTATAATACCGTATATATATATACACATATGATCATATATATATATATATACTATATACTATGGAATTATAACAATGTTTACCAAATCCTCCCCACCTATACCATGTCTATGTTAAATACCCAGAGGGTATATACTTGGGGGGTATGATAGTGTGATATAAAAGCTCTGATATACCCAGCCAACTGGATAGGTAGGACATATGTAATCCCTTAGTTTTTTCCTCTACATGGAGAATAGCCAGATTTTTTTGTGGACTACCACAGATTAGCCACGAACTTGGCAAAGTGGTTGATTGGTTAGCACACATCACAGTGAGTGAGGGCCTGCCTCTTTTGAGCAGTGCTCAGATTATGACCCTTTGGTCCTCCCGCTCCACTGGTGGATGAGGCACTATTGCAGAGTATTATGATGTTTTCCTAGACCCTCCAATTATACCCGTAAAAATTGTGTTTTACACCATTATTTTATTACTTTTACAATTTTTTGATGATAGTTGGAGGGTCTAAGTATGGTGTATTTTCACCAGTTCCTTATTGTCTAACACCTCATTTTCCGCATGAACATGGCCATAACTTAAGTACCCAACTTTTCAACTGACCCTCTGGGAATTTAAGATAGCTATGAAAACGGGGGGCCTTTACTTCGTTGGTTTTCCAATTCTTAAGAGTGATTTTCCATAGCTTACCCTCTGGTAAACTAACATAGCTATTGAAAATCAGCTTTTTTAATGGGAAACCTCACTATAAATGGCAATTTTCAATAGCTATGTTAAATTACCAGAGGGTAATGTTAGTTTACTAGGGGGTATACCCCATGTATGCCCAAGATTTGGCCATATTTGTCTGTCAGGACTACCACTCTCATGCTGCCAAGGCGATGGGGATATGACTGGGGGGAAACACTGATCCATTCACCAGCTATGACTTAGGGATACTTAGGGTACCTATTACCTATATATATATTATATATATATACCAGGGTTTAGATCCAGAATCATTTACTGTCAATGTATGACCATTTGAATGGAGAACATCATGATAAACCGGATGAATTTTGAGGTTCCCATTTTTGGAGACCACAGATCTGCTTTTCAGCGCTGGTCCCAAATTTCAGGGAACACCATGCGGCTGCATGCAGAAAAGTCACTTGAATGTGTCTTGTGCCAGTGCCATGTCAGATATTTTAAGGGACTGTTATTATGAAATATTTTCTGAATTCTTGAGATTTATCCAGATGACCAGTTTTTTTTTTAGTCTGGCTGTGTCTCCACCGCAAGACCCTGGAGATCCAATTTAATATGTTTTTTTTTCCGATGGTATCTTAAGGCTAGTACCATGGTGGCTTCGTTACTGGAACCCCGAAATCCATTTGATTGGTGCTTTGGAATTGGAACATGACTTTTATGACTTTCCATATATTGGGAATGTCATCATCCCAACTGACTAATATTTTTCAGAGGGGTAGGTCACCCACCAACCTGCCATGTCATGATATGTCATGATATGTCATTGTCATTAATGTGTGTGAAATCCCCATACGTTGCGCCATTTCAAGTGAAACCCAGTGGAAGCAGTGACCCTCGGCAGGGTGCGGATGAAGCTGATGAGGCTCGAAGTATCTCGAAGTTCTGGGATCCATCATGGGATAGCCTTGGAAGCAGCCAGCAATCCAGCATTGACCACCCAATTTTAGGGTGCTGGGTCCCATGGCCCAAAGGTGGGACTCGGAAGAGTGAAGCCAATGTTTAGGACCTTAGATTAGGATACTTCAAATGAACTGGGACTACATAAGGATGTACAGTACATCCTTAGCATTGGAGTCGAAAATGGATCCAGAAGTAGTTGTAGATTTGTAGTACCTCTACGATTCAAACCCTCGAAATCGCCAACTGAGCCAACTGGATGATGGCGCTGTTACCCTCCGGTAAAGGCGACAATGGAAATCCCCCATTGATGTTCCCATTCTAAGCTCCATTTATCGGTGCTTTCCTAGTCATGTTTGATTACTGGAGGGTGCTGTCATGCATCAATGGCTCTGATGTAGTTTGTTATCGCATTTTGTTTTGCGTCGGCGATGTCCATGTTGGTTTTGTGATAATATTGCTGGGCTCTTCATGAATCCAGAAGAAGTGAGAGGAGGTAATGGACATCCAGTTATCAACAGACATCAATAGACATGATTCATGCATACTCCCATCTGCCAATATTAAATACCCCCCCTTGAACGTTTGGTTTCGTACGGGATCTGTTCCGTTGCATATGGGGCTCTTCAATAATCACAAAGGTGGAAGTATTAGTACATACTATATTTCGCTAACCACTGAACTAGAATTTAAATGGTTGGGTTCTCAGGTTGATTCGCTATTGCAGATTGCGGGATTTTAGAAACACACCAGTT